GATTTCAATGGTATCACGCGCGAGCAAGACGGGGCACGCTGTCGCACAACAACACGACAATATACCTCGTCCTGCGTAACGCAATGCAATATGAAATCCCCCCGAATTAATTAAGACGCATTTTGACCAAGAAAAACACGGTTATGAAGCAGCCACACCCACGAAGGAGAGTGACGGCTCTTCCCGATTGCCTCACCAAGGAGGACAAAGCGGGGGTATAATATACAACATGTCCATATGGGTTTTTAAGCGAAAAAAGGAGAAAATGCTCATTAATTAGGCAAGACGATTTAGACTACATTAATACACATGAAGCACGACGTACGTAGTCATATAAGTAACATGACAACATACCCGTCCTCCAGAGTATAACGCAGTTATAAATCGCCCCAAATTAATTTAGGCGTGCTTCAACCAAGCAAAACACGACTATGAATCGGTCACGCTCACGAAGGAGAGTGACGGCTCTTCCCGATTGCCTCACTAAGGAGAACAAAATAGGGATATCATACATAATATATCCATATGGGTTTCCAAGCAAAACAAAAAAAAAACAAAAAGGAAAGGTGCTTGTTAAGTTAGGTGAGACGATTTGGACTGCATTATACATACGAAGCACGATGTATGTTATCATGTGAGTAACATGAGAGCATACCCATCCTCCGAAGTATAAGGCAGTTGAAGATCGCCCCAAATTGATTAAGGCGCGTTTTGACCAAGCAAAACACGGCTATGAAGCGGCCACACCCACGAAGGAGAATGGCGGCTCTTCCCAATTGCCTCACCAAGGAGAACAAAGCGGGGGTGCAATATGCAGTATGATATATTCATGATTGAATTCATTGATAAAAGAAGTAATGACGTTATACCTGTACAACTAAAAGGCTCCAGCTCAGGTGACTGAGTAGCAGAGCAACCCCTCGCAACGCGTGATCCCCTCATCGACATAGCTAATCTGCAATGGGAACCAACAATTCAATCATTCAGAGAAATTGGGAAGTATGGCGTTAAAAAGGAAAATTTTGAACATTCGATTGAAATTCTACAAAATAGAATTTTCCAGTTGAAGGTCCGATTAAACCTATACGACATCCCCCATTCAAGTTAAAGCGAGAGGAAAATAAGATATACAAATCAAACAAAGCCCAACGGCTATTCCTCAAACCAAAGACCACGATCTTATGAATCAAGCAAGCCATCACCATCACCAAGACATGGGCATCGACTAAAATTTCAAGTTATATACATGGTTATGGACAACAATCAAAGGCCTCGGCCATACATAGGTCACTCGGCTATGTACAAGTACGGATTTAAATCATTCGGTCATGTACAATTTCGGATCCAAGGCACATACAAGAATCAAAAGACAAAAGATCTCGGCTATATACAAATTCGAACTCGAATCATATACAAGTTCAAACCATAGAAGAGTTCGGTCAAGAGTTGGGTCATGTACAGGTTCGAGGAGCTTTACGACCACACATTCAACCAACATCAATCGACCAAAATCTCAACAATTTTTCGGCCATGTACAGGTTCAACAAATATTTTTTTGGCCATATACATAAGATTGAGATTTGCATGAAATTCAAGGGTAGAGGCATCCAAATTTCAGTCCTATTTTTATACATAACACCTTCAAATTTCAGCCCTATTTTTACACATAACACCCTCAAATTTCAGCCCTGTTTTACACATAACACCCTCAAATTTTAGCCTTTTTTTTACACATAACACCCTCTAATTTTAACCTTTTTTTTACAAAAACCCCTTCAAAATTTCAGTCACTTTTTTACACATAACACCCTCAAGTTTCAGCAACCTTTTTAACACATAAACCCCCATAATTTTGACCCCAAATTTGCATATAAAACCCCCAAAAGTTTGGTCAATTTGACAACAACATCCTCAACAATTTCGGCCATATACATATACATGAAATTAAGAAAGTAGTGAAATCAAAGGTGAGAGAATCCAAGCCCACATTTTCATCCAACCTTCAAGAACAAAAAATAAAGATTTGAGTTTTCCCCCAAATCAAGAAATTAGGGTTTTAAAATTTAGAGGGTTTAAGAGAAAGGAACCAAATTGAAGAGAGGTTCTTACCAAAGCTTGAAGAAGTGTTGAAGAGGAAGCCTTGTTGATGATGAAGCCCAAGATCCTCCAAACCCAACTTGCCTTGCTTGAAGCCTTGGAGAAGATGATAGCTTGGAAGGAAGAAGATGAAGGCTTTGAAGCTTTGAAGAGTAAGTGGTTAAAGGCTTTGAAGGAGACGAGGATGGAGTTCTTGGAGAGGGAGAACTCAAAACAAAAAATGGGGGAGGGGGATTCTATCAAGACCGAAAACTAGAGAAGAAGAAAAGGCCATGATGAAGTCGGTCTTGGGGGATTTTTAAAAGACTGAACCGGTCTGAACCGGACCGGTCTGAGCCGAACTGGCCTGAACCAGACCGGCCTGAACCAGACCGGCCTGAATCAAACCTGGACCAAACCAGATCGAGTCATCCCAAATTACAAGTATCTTTTGATGGTTCACATGCGTATGAGGCGCGAAATGTCGGCTCGAACATGTAGAAAGATTCGAAAACAATTTATGTACACTTTGACCCCCTTTTTAGGTGTTTTTCGACATATTCGATGCCCGTATAAATACTCCAATGGGAATACGAATCTAAACTGTTTCTCACTTTTGACGAGAAGTTCCTGGAAAATATTACGCGTAATATTCTTAAGGATAACCCTACAACCTCCGATGGGTACACAACGTTAAACTGATTCCCAAAACTCCCAGGAGTACACGAGTATAAAATGGTTCTCCTTAGGTTAACGCCGGTCAACGCGTTGCGATGAAGGTCAACGCCGATCGATACTAAATCCTAAGGTCAACGCCGGTCAACGCGTGGCTTTGGGTCAACGCCGGTCAACGCGTGGCCTTGGGTCAATGCCGGTCAATGCGTTGTGATGAGGGTCAACACCGACTGATACGAAACCCTAAGGTCAACACGTTGCGATGAGGGTCAACGCCGATCGATACGAAACCCTAAGGTTAACGCAAGTCAACGCGTAGCCCTAGGTCAACGCCGGTCAACGTGTTGCGATGAAGGTTAGCACTAATCGACGTGTAACCCTAGGTCAACATTAGGCAATGTGTTGCGACACAGATAATCAGTGCAAAGTTAACTCAACAAAATGAGCCAAAATCAACTCATCAATTCTGATTCGAGACTTCGACAACGATCAGGCGATAAACGCAGCACCGGAAGAATTTCAACTGTTTGATAAAATACTGAATAGACTAAAATGTGGAGAAGTCAGGAACTGAAAAGTGTTATAGGACCCTTAACACCGACTGAAGGTGTGGGCCTATCACGTCCAAAGTATCTCAGACTCCTCTCTAAGGAAATGAGACTGAAACACTTTGGAGGGGGTATCTGTAGGCATCTAAAAATGCCTGTAGGTTCCTGAATATGGCTCGAGATGAAGAGGAGACGATAAATGTCATCATCCAAGTCGAGAAAGTTTATCCGAGCGGCCCGCGTATTCATCGACCACTGTCAGTAGCCCATACGCTCAATGGTCACCGGAACGACGAACCAAACGTCCCGTGCGCTCACCAACAATTCCGCGCACTCACTACCTAGTTCCAAGCATCCTGCGTACTCACCAGCCACCGTCAAGTGATCCGCACGTTCACAAAATGTACGAAGCGAATCGAGGAAGTGAACCGGTCGGTGAAACAATGAAATACACATAAACGACGGAACAAGTCAAACCCAAGAAAACCAAGAAAGCCTCTGGCGGTTGGATCACGTCAAAATGATCTGGTCGAACTAGTGGCTCGGCCATGGGTTGAGCCACCATTTGGTGGCTCGGCCATGGTCGAGCCACCAAGTGGCAGTTCGGCCAGAATCAGTTTTTCGGTTCTTTTTATGGATTCTTTCGGGATTTGAGTGTTCCTGGACGTTCCAACTAATCTGATACTATGGTTATACAGTTGTTAACTGAAGATAAAGAGAAATTCATTATTCTTATCCAAATAACCGCATTCGAGGCCTATAAATATGAGTCAAAGGCCTCCATTTTATTTATCTGGAAATCAAGAGGGCAAGGTGCTGTCAAATTGGAGATTGGAGCACAAATTTCAGAGAGTTAGTAGATCTTAACAGAGTTCTTCAATAAAGTGAGAGTTCGAGAGATCTGAGACTTTGTCCTTATTCCTCCGGATTTAAGCTTAGTCTTAAATCTCGAGAAGAGCCGTGATTTTGCTTAGTCAAAATCACAGCTACTGTAATTACTTTCTTCGTGAAGTGAGAGCATTGGTTATCCAACTTCTGCTAACCGGATCTGTTCCATAGGCGGTCCACGGATAAACCCCGGCACCGGCAACGATCCCGCACAAGCAATAGGCGATAAACATCTATTGCGTATAGTTTGAGAGAAAGTTGTAATTTTCGATTTAAAGTCTTATAAAAAGGCTATCTTTTTTTTTGAGTTTATTGTAAGCGTTCAAAGTTGTAATGGACTCATCAAAGAAATCAATTTTCCAATCAAACAACTCAGCAACAAGGTATTGATTATGAGGAGACCTTTGTCCTGTTGCTCAGATGCCCACCATTCGTACTCTTCTTGCGGTCGCTGCTGCTCATCGTTGGCCCTTATACTAGATGGATGTCAAAAATGCTTTTCTCTATGGCTCTTTATCTGAGACAGTATATATGTAACCGCCTCCAGGGTCTAATATTCCTACGGGACATGTATGTCTCATTCGCCGTGCCGTTTATGGTCTCAAGCAGGCACCCCGCGTTTGGTTTGAGTGTTTTCGTGATGTCGTGCTCAAGGCGGGCTTTATGAAAAGTCATCAAGATGCTTCTCTGTTTGTTTGAACTACATCGCGTGGCAGAGTTTTATTACTTATTTATGTAGATGATATGATCATTACAGGTGACGATGTGGCTGGTATACAGTACACAAAATCTCAGTTGTAACAACAGTTCCACATGAAGGATCTTGGACCTCTTCGATATTTTCTTAGTCTAGAAATTTCTCAAGGTCCGCAGGGTATACTATTATCTCAACAGAAGTATCTCTTGGATATTCTAGATCGAGCTGAGCTAACTGATGATGGAACTGTCGATACTCCACTCCAACAGAATATCAAATTTCGTTCTACTGATGGTGAGCCTCTATCTGATCCTACCCAATATCGACATTTTGTTGGTCAGTTGGTCTATCTGTGCATCTCTCGATTAGATATCTCTCATGCTGTTGGCATTGTCAGTCAATTTGTTAGTGCCTCACGTTCTATACATTATGCTACCTTATTACGGATTCTCCGGTATCTCCGGGGTACTAACACTCGTTCTCTTCTGTTTCCTGCTATATCCAAGTTAGAGCTTTGTGCATATTCTGATGCTGATTGGGCTGGTGATCCCACTATCAGGAAGTCTACCACAGGTTATTGTATATTTCTTGGTGATTTTCTAATTTCCTGACGGAGTAAGAAACAAGATGTTGTTGCTCTTTCCAGCACCGAGGCAGAGTATCGTTCAATGTCCACAACAGTTAAAGAGATTATTCATCTTCGTCGTCTTCTCAGTTATTTTGGTATTTCTGTTACGACTCCTACTCCTCTCTACTATGATAATAAGAGTGTTATCCAGATTGCTAATAATCTAGTATTTCATGAGAGGACCAAACATATTAAGATCGACGCTCATTTTGTCCATCAACAAGTTATCAAGGATAAGATAATTCTACTTCCTCATGTTTCGTCCACTGACGAGCTTGCTGATTTCTTCACAAAGGCCTTACCTGTTCATCGGTTCTAGTTTCTTGTACGCAAACTCAATTTGTTTTATCCAACATGAGTTTGAGGGGGGCTATTGATAATAGTGTATTGTAGTGGGTTTTAGTCCCACATTGGTTGTGAGAACACATCTCAACCTCCTCTACTTGGGGTTTTAGTCCCACATTGGTTGTGAGAACACATCTCAACCTCCTCTACTTGTATAAATATATGTGTACACTCAATATTCAACTCAAGGGACTTGTATAAATATATGTGTACACTCAATATTCAACTCAAGGGAAATTTACCCAAGACTCTCTCTCTCTTACTTTTAACAGCAACAAAAAAACAGGACATACATTATGGAGAAATATTGTAGCAATTTAATTTCATATTAAGATATCAAAGTATCAATTAAATTATCTCCTAATTTCAATACCAAGATTTTGTGATGCCCATCCATGCTTTATCACCAACCACTTTTTCCTCCGGTATTTGGTAACCCAATGAAGTTACTTCCTCGAGCCGCATCCTTAATAAGATGGACATAGGCTACAAGCTGTGCGTCCTCATTGAGCCCTTTAACTTTTAAAAGCTCCTCAAATATCTCTCCTTCTGTGTAAAAACGAGGACTAGTCTTCCAAATTACATAACCAGTTGACTTTATTCTACTTTTTTGCCCATCAAGCTCTTCACCAAAGTAGCTAGTGGCACCATACTTTCTTTTATATGCCACCTTTGAAGATTTTCCTGATGTAAAATGGGGTTTAGGACCTTGTTCTTTACCTTTTGAAGGGCCAATGCATTCTACATCATTCTCTTGAACGGATTCCCTATCATCTTCTTGATCAATATTAATAGAACTTGATTCATCGCTTTCATTTTCTAGGCAAGCACGTCTTTCTTTGACAGTTTCAGAAGCTAAACCAATGGTCCTATCTTTGGCATAAATGATTTGCAAGTTTTCAAAACATGATACTTGTTTGTAACGAAATAGTTTTGCTCGAGGTTGTTCCTATTAACAAATAAAGAGTCAACTCCCACCAAAGGTAAGTCTTCTCAAGGGCACAAGGAGAACATAAAATAGTCAAACTAACATAATCAACTACATTTTATGTGGGAATTACAATATAAATGCATCTGAGGAACATCAAAGATTTAAAAAATGATAATAGAAATGCATCTAGCTGGCAGGCTACTACCTTCTAAATATAGTTGCAGAGATGATGAACATTTCTCGAGACAAAGCCTAATACTTCTACTCACAATTCTTGGCTACTAAAGTACATAATCAGTTACATTTTTCATGTGTGAATTACAGTAGGATCAAAATTATAAAGATCCAAAGTTATCAATTCAAGAAAAATCTAGCCTAGATTCTACAAACAGGAAAAGAAAAAAATATTAATAAATGAAAAGAATAATAAATATTGGCCTTTTACCAGTTCCTAATAGTTTGGTAGAAGGACAGAACCTCATTACAAAAACAAAACAAAAAAATTACTTTTAAGGGCGAGTTATGTATAAATATTAGTTAACGTATCTAATAGCCAACTCAAGCTCGACATTTCCATGGTCTTACCAATCTTCTCCACTAACCAAAAAATAGATTACTGATATTTACTTTTATAAAAAAAAACTTTATTTTGAAAAGATAATCTAGCTACAATTTATCTCAAAAAAAAAAAAAAGCCGAACTCCTATCTGACCCCTCTAGAACATAAGGGATATGGACCATGCAATATTTTTCTGAATTTTCAATGCTTTGATCTATTTAAGACACGATTTAGTAGTTCACTTGAAAACCATCAGTACGTATATGGATAACATTCTATTTTTATGTATAAATTACAAATATATGCATTACATGCTATATAAATAGAAGAGAAAAATAGAAGGGATCTTGTCAAGCTAAATAAAATTGACTAGCTAACTGTCACAAACCTAGTGACACGCCTATGAGTCCAAGCACAAAGCTCACCAATGACGAAAATGGAACCGACTACGATCAAAAGAAGTATAGAGGTATGATTGGATCACTTCTTTATCTTACAACCTCTAGACCTAATATCATGTTTGCTGTATGTCTATGTGCTTTCAAGCTAAACCTAAGGAGTCACATGTTAAGGAGATAAAAAGAATCTTTAGGTGTTTGATACACACACAAAACTTTGGTTTGTGGTACCCATCTTGTGATAGCTTTGCACTTTCTGCTTATTCTGATGCTGATTATGCTGGTAGTCACGTGGATAGGAAAGCACAAGTGGCACTTGTTTTATGTTAGGACATTCCTTAGTTGCATGGTCAAGTCGTAAGAAAAACAGCAATGCTCTGTCCGCGACCGAAGCAGAATATATTGCCTTAAGCAGTTGTTGCGCTCAGGTCTTGTGGATATGCAAACACTTTTTGATTATGGCTTAACTTACACGGATGTTCCGTTGAACTGTGATAGTAAAAGTACCATTGATCTTTCAAATAATAATGTCCATCACTCTCGTACAAAACACATAGAAGTTAGACATTACTTTTTGAGAGATCACGTAGATAAAGGTAACATTTGCATTGAGTTTATTCCCACAGAATCTCAACTTGCTAATATCTTTACGAAACCCCTAGCTACTGATCGATTTTGACGTATCCGCCTAGATTTGGGAATTATTGATAAATAATTGGTACGAGAATGTGATATTTCCCCTATACATATTTTTAGAAACCTTGTGATTAATTTTTTCTTTTTGTGCTTTTTTTTTGTGTACTTGATCATTTTTTCTTTTGTGTGCTTACTAAAAAAAATAACTTTCTAGAAGTGACTGAGATGAACTTTTGATTTTTATTGAAAATATTTAAACTATAAAATAAGAGTGTGAGATTTGAATTTTATGCCATGATCAATAATGACATACTTTGATTTTTAGGATTTCTTAGGCATATTACAAAATAGTCGTGTCGTGATTCTTACATCTACTGTTTACCAAAAGATAGTTTTGATAGAATCTTAATTATTTTTGCTCGTGACGGTACAAAAGGAATAGAATTGGAAAAAGAAGTTTGAATATGGTTTACATAGTTTTCATTACATGCTTACTTAGAGAATGTGTGATGTACAGCCTTTAGATGAAAATAAAAGCATGAACTTCAATGAAAAGAAAAAGCAATGGAGTTAAAGAAAAACCATATTAAATTGCTTCACATGAAAAATGGATACGGTTTATAAAGTGTGACATAACTCAAGTATATCCGACCTTACTAAGAATTGCAAATATTCAGAGTCGGTGTATATATATCCATCAAGCTCTACTCCATCCACATCTAAGTGTTCTATATGGCTATACTTGGATGTGAGTATCTTGATCTCATTTTTAATTAGTTGAGGATACGTAATTCTTATATAAGTACATGTTTTGAATCTTTTGCGGGAAAAGTGGTAGCTTGGTTGAAAATTCATTCTTTTAAAAACCCAGTGTGATTCTAATCATGCTTCCTATCATTTTATTTATCTCACCTACACCTTTTGAGAACATGGAGATTTTGATTCATAATTTAACGTATTCTTTGATTAATCATATGTGTCTTTATGTCATCTCTTGATCATACGTACAAAGTTTTCTTCTCATATGACTATTTCTATTGCTTTATATATTTTTGATGAAAACAAAAAGGGGAGAGAGATTAAGATTAGTGGTTGTTTCAAATTGTTTTAAAATATGGTGAAATTATTTTCATGATCGGGAGCACGGTTTTTGGGGGAGCATGTCGATAGGGGGAGCAATTTGGATTTATGTTGATATACTATTAGCATGTTATGCTTCACGAAGGCACACACTCAACACATGACATGTTATTGTAAAATCAATGTTAACTTCTAGGTTTGTTATCATCAAAAAGGGGAGATTGTTGGGTATGACAACCTATGAACCTTGTTTGATAATGACAAACCCCTATGAACGTTCTGATCTGTGTGTTGAGTTATGCAGGTTGCAGGTTGAACGGAAAAGCCGCAATTGTATATATATATATTTATATATATATATATATGACACACACACACTATATCTATTCTACTATCTATCTATCATATCTATATATATATTAATTTATTTATATGTCTAGTTATTATATAATAGGTTAATATATATAGTATACGATGATTATATAGTGTATGTAGTGATATTATATATTATAGTTCTGGTATATATATATATATAGTATATATATATTATAATATATATAATATGATAGTATACGATTATATATATATATAATATATTAGATAGTAGTATATATATATATATATATATATAATATTAGTAAGTAGTAAATATATTACATATATATATATATATAGTATATATATAATATTATATTATATATATAAATAGTATATATATATAGTAGTATATATAAATATATAGTATAGTGATATAATAAATGAGTATATATAGATATATATAAGGTATATTATAGTAGTATATATATATAGGTAGGTATGAGGGTATATATAGTAGTATATATATATAGGATATATATATATATATAGTATAGTATATATATTGTATAGTAGTATTATTGTATATGTATATATAATATATAGTACTAATAAGGTAGGTAATATATATATATATTATATATTATATATATATATATATTTATTATATTATTATTATATGATATATATATGTGTATATATATTGTATCTATATATGT